CAGTGGGCTCATGTGCTCTCAACCATCAAATTGTCCAAGACCATTCTAAAACTATTCCAAATATGTTACATTCTGGTAAGTAAGTCAGTCTTTATTTATATATATTCACAGACATTTTTTGTCCCCAAAGATGCTTTACAGAGCATTATTCAGCATTATTCATTCACTCTATACCTGGTGATGGTAAGCCACTTTTGTAGCCACAGCTGCCCTGGGGCAGACTGACAGAAGTGTGGCTGCCATTCCACTCGGCACCATCGGTCCCTCCGACCACCACCAACACTCACACCACTTTCGTACTAGGCAATGTGGGTGAAGTGTCTTGCCTAAGGACACAATGATTGAATTGATTGTATTTAACTGACCTTGACTATCAACTGTTCTTGGAGACCTGGAGCATGTTTATGGGTTGATGGGGGAAACCGGAGCACCCAGAGGAAACCCATCCAGACATGGGGAGAAACATGTAAACTCCACACAGAAAGGGATCGAACCCAGAACCTTCTTGCTGTGAGGCATGAGTGCTAGCCACTCAGCCTTGGTCCATTTATGTAATCAACACTGATAGCTGTTAGCATTGGTAGTATCTGGGTAGTGATTTTTTTGCAACCCTATACACAACTAGACAATAAATGATGCGGATGATTTGAATTGAGAAAGAAAAAAAAATCAATCATTGCTGTGCACAGTACAGACAGCACTTTTATTTAATGTACTTTGAGGGGCATGAATAATTATTGAAACTGGCCTCGCATATACACTTCCAAGAAAATCCAATGCCTAAGGTAAAAATGTTGAATATTACCGGGAAAAAAATGTGCAGTGCTGGCAAGGCTTTAAAAACTTTGAAATCAATATCAGCAGACCATAAGAGCATTATATCTATATCTTCAGTTTTCACACAAAGCATAACCCATTCTACATTTTCTACATAAGTTGCCTGGATTGGGTGTTTGAGCTGCCATTTGTAAAGTTAAACTAACTATATTCACAGTGCATGACGAAGATAGCCACCAGTGACTCAGAGAATAGGCCAAGCTGGAGACAGTCTGCCCTGATAACAACCATCCTTATTCCTCTATCACCACTCACAGGGACTTTGGGAAAAAAAAGTTTTATGGTTGAAGGTGTCTGAGTCAAGACTTTGACAGAAACTATTTAAACATTGGGAACTTTAAAAATACATCCCTTATAGGATATATTTTCAGATATTTGACACAGTTTCGGATAACAGCTGTCAAACTATTCTGAAAGTCTGACTTGATCGGTCCATAAAACATTTAGGTGAATAGTGGGAAGCATTTAGAGGTCCCTGATAGGCTAGCACTAGTACAGCAGTAAAAAGGCAAATTGTTCTGTACATGAGCTTTTGTTCCAACCATTGAGCCACTAAGAACCACTATGTCTTTAATTTGCTATAATATAAAATGTCTAGCTTGCATCTGTGAGGTTTTAAGAAGGTATGTGATCAATTTATTTCAGTACACCTACTTTTTAATACAAACACCATATACACTTAGTATTCTGTATTATGCAAAGTATTATGCAAAATAAACTTGTGGATTGCTTTCTACTATGTTATAATGTTGTTTCCTCATCAAAAACATGCCTGAAAAGATTTTAGATGTTATCCATGCACTTCTGAATAATCTAGTGATCTCCAGGGACTACTCAAACCCTGCTTACAGATATCAAGACAAGTCTGAACAAGGCTAAGCCCACAAGCCTACGTCACTCGTGGTTCCACATGACAATTATTCATAAATATACATATGCATGATACAAAACAATACACTACATCTTCACAAACCTGAAGCAATGTGCCTTGTGTTTCTTTAGTTGAATGCACACTGAGTATGTTGAGATAGCACTCTGACTTAGCATGGGGAGTAAGGAGAGTGGAGACTCAAAGCATCAAAAATGAAACTGTTTTTGGCAACTATAATGTTTTCAAAAAGTATAAAGATGATGAGGTAACATGTTGCCCTAAATATGTTATGTGTTAACAGTTAATACCCCATAGAAGTGTAATACTCCCCTCTCTTTGTTATATCCACATGCTCAACTTTTAATTGTGATGAATGAAAAACAGGAAAAAATATAGTTCTAACTCAATGACCACTTAGACTTCCCTTAATTGCTGTGACCCTGGAAAAGAGTATCAGCTTACACTGTGTATGTCCTACTACATTTCTCCTTTATTTCCCTTAAATTCCTATAAAGAATGACATGACACTCTGCACTTCTAGCAGTTGCCCTTTGAATTATTCGCTTGATCTCTCACCCCTCTCACATGCAGGGAGTTAATTACGCTACAGCCTCGTAATAAAGAAGATAGATGACACTGGGTTGTACATACGCGACCTGATTCAGTGACAACATGTGAAGGCTGGTAAGGTCAAACTATTAGAATTGATGAAACTGTCATGCTATCACTGTGAAGAATCCACTTCAGAGGACTGACTTTCCACTGGTCAACAAATGGCAAACTGGTCTCATAGGAAACTAAACTAAAGAAGGCATCGCTCACATGCTGTTAACGCCATCTGTTAAGTTGAGTTCCATATCTGGCACATTTATTAACTGGCAGTAAAAATCCTGCTAGACGTCAATGAAATAAATCACCCCATCTCGTAGCCCAGCCCTACATCAGATCTGAGTGCAGGTTCACCGAAATCATTATAATGCTTCTCGGAAAACAACCTTTTTGAACAGCACCGTAATTGCAGTAAAAGAACATGTTTTTTCTAGTTCATATGAGCGGAAATATTTTCAGACTCTTACATGGGGCTATCTACAAGGGTCAAGCAGCACAACAGAAGTAATGCAAATCATCACTACAGAATCCTCTTTGTCTGTTTGTAGTATAAATAGCGAAATCAGAACAGATGCTTTTTGAAATTCAACCAAAGAAGGCCAGGGGGCTGTTATATCTCAAACATTGGTGTCACATGTTGACATTCTTTGTTAAAAGGGTAATTTAATTAGGGGTGTCAAATTATCGCGTTAATTGCGATTAATTAATTACAGTCATATTTAGCGCGTTATGTTTTTTAATCGCGTTAATCTCATTTTTAATCTCTAACTTTAGTGTTTCTGTATGCGAGTTGCTTTATTATAAAACCTGTTTTTATGTGTTGTTGGGACAACAACACACACACACAAAACACATTTATACTTTTTTTTTTTCGGTAATTCATTGCCGGAAACGCACACAAAACGCGCGCAGTAAGAGCGATGTAAACGTCATGTTAACGTTGGCGGCGTCAGTCGCACAATGGACGAGGTGGAAGAGCCAGTAGAACAGAGGCAGCAGTGCACAGGTAAAAACGCATTCGTGTCTTGGAAATTCTTCTCCCGACGTGAAATATAAAAGAAAATAACAAATATAATATCGCCTACAACTTAAATGTCACTGGTGAAAACAACCTGCATAGACTCATGATGTCTGCACTACTGTCCTATAGTGACCTGCCACATGAGGGGACACGCACACAAACACACACAAACACACAAACAAACACAAACACAAACACACACCTTCATCATCGTCATTAATCTGAGAACGCGCGGGACCACGTTTCCTTCCGTAGTTACTGCGCGGACACCAACATGCTCCCGTGCGCCGCGTGTGGATCGTGTTTTCTCGGGTACACTGCGTAAACCGCGCTTCCTCCTGTGCGCCTCTAAACCAGAACTAACACCAAGACTAAAACCAGGACTAATCCAGTCCAGGACTAAACCAGGTCTAAACCAGGACTAAACCAGGACTAAACCAGAACTAAAACCAGAACTAAACCAGGACTAAACCAGGACTAACACCAGGACTAAAACCAGGATTAATCCATTACAGGACTAAACTAGGACTAAAGTAGGACTAAAGCAGGTCTAAACCAGGACTAAAACAAGGACTAAAACCAGTGATTTCATATATAAAACATTTCTCTATCAATAATATTTTTAATATGGTTAAGGAAAGACTGGACTTTTTATTGTCTTTAAGTAAACAAAAGTTATTATGTTCAGATTTCCTCGTCTTTGCTACTTTACAACAAACAGTTTCTTATTCATGGAGACTTGGGCTCAACAGCCAATTTGGAGAGATTTGTTAAACAATAAATGACTTTATAAAGTCACTTTTTTTTGTTCTATATCAGTCTTTTGATCTGCCACAATAATGTAATAATGAATTTAAATGAAAATACCTCAAATTGAAGGCTTTTCTCAGCAATTTTTAGGTGAGATTAAAATGAGATTAATTAGATTAATTAATTACAGATCATAATTAATTAATCTCTCAATTTTTTTAATCGCATGACAGCACTTTAATAATAACTACACTTTTAATAACCTCAATTAAGTATGAACAAAGACATCATTCATAAATTACTTAGTAACTACTTAACCAATACACTACCTTTAACTTCTAACTCCTCATAGCTACTAAACCTCTACAATCTGTGTATCATTCGTTCATTCATTTTTCAATAGAAAACCAAAAATAAGAAAATGAAAAAAACAACAGTTTTCTTCATTATTTGTCTCCAAAACCAAACTGAAAAAACTGATAACGATTCGTTTTTTTCAGTTTTCGATTTTGTGTTTAAATGAAGAATGGAAAAAACGGATAACGACCGTTTACGTGACTCTCGTGACTGCGATGCCGAACTTTTGCGCTGCATACGGACTGAACCAGGACTGATCCAGGTCCGAGACCAGACCAGGACCAGAGCGGGACTGAGACCGAAACTGAGACCGAGACCAGGCCGGGACCAAACTGGACTCACGCTTCTGTACACTGCACCACCCCGGAACCAGCCACAGTTCTTGAACGTGGAGGACCGGAGCAGCCCGTCCGGACCTGTAGTCCACAGCACATTCTCGCTTTCCCCACACAGAACCAGAGCGCAAAAACTTTCTTTGTATACTCCTTTTTTGTTTTTCATGAATGATGATAGAGTTATTTGTATGATCAAACAGAGAGATGCAGAAAGACTCACATGCAAATGTTAGGCTGGCCTCTCGGCTCACAATGGTCCCAAAGGAGTTGGTGGCGAGGCACTGGTACGTCCCCGCGTCCTGGTCCCTGTTCAGATGACTGATCCGCAGATTTCCTCCAGACAGACTGTAGTGAGATCCAGGTTTGATTTCTGTGCCATTGAGTTTCCACCTGAAGAAAACAGATGAAGAGACACATTCTATTTAATAATAATAATAATAATAATAATAATAATAATAATAATAATAAGAATAATAATAAGAATAAGAATAATAATAATAATAATAATAATAATAAGAAGAAGAAGAAGAAGAACAAGAAGAAGAAGAACAAGAAGAACAAGAACAAGAAGAACAAGAAGAAGAAGAAGAAGAACAAGAACAAGAACAAGAAGAACAAGAACAAGAACAAGAAGAACAAGAAGAAGAAGAACAAGAAGAAGAACAAGAAGAACAAGAAAAAGAAGAAGAAGAAGAACAAGAAGTCGAAGTAGAAGTCGAAGTAGTAGAAGTAGAAGTAGAAGAAGAAGTAGAGGTAGTAGAAGAAGAAGAAGTAGAAGAAGTAGAAGTAGTAGTAGAAGAAGAAGTAGAAGTAGTAGAAGAAGAAGAAGTCGAAGAAGTCGAAGTAGTAGAAGTAGAAGTAGAAGAAGCAGAAGAAGTAGAAGCAGAAAAAGTAGAAGAAGAAGTCGAAGTAGTAGAAGTAAAAGAAGAAGAAGGAGAAGAAGACGAAGAAGACTCATTTTTGACCCTCTATCTGCTCCCCTGTCACTCCCCCTTCAGAGCACTATCCTAACACAATCAGCGTGCATCCAGTTAATGAAACTATTGCACATCACATCAGGTTTGTCAAGTTCTTGTGTACTGTTTGGTATCATGTTTTTGTTTTGTTTTTATTTATGGAGAATTGTTCTGCTGTAGAATAGATGATGAATGAGATCGCTAAATTACTAAAACATGCATGATGAGAACTAAAACCTCTTAAGGCATGTTTTAATGAGAGAACAACATTACAGCATGGTAGAAACCAAAAATTTTGTATGATTTCCCCCTTTTTTTTTTATAACTACTGCATCATATTGTGGGAAGTTGCTTTGAGTGTGTACAAACAAGAAGAGCAAAGTGGACTTGGAGGAGAGCTTTCCCTAGACACTGGCAGTGATGTCCAGGCTGCAGGACACAGAGGAGGGACACTTTTGTCCAGAGGGGTGTTATGCCTCGTAACAGGACACAGGACCTGCTGACCGTATCCGACACATTCTCCTGTTGAGCTGGACTAGGGCTTTGTTTGAGTTCTTCTTCAGTTCTTGTGTTTTGGCTGCTCAAAATGCTGGAATTATCCCTTGGGAAAAACAAGTTATATTGATTGATTGTTAGAAAAATGCTATATAAGAAAGATGTATTATTGTATCATTATTTGCACATTTCAGAGTTGTAATCATGCCCTGCAGCTTGGTGTTAATCCAAGCAGATGTGAGCCACAGTAGTTCCAAGGACTCGACTCTCTCAGAATAGATAGCATTGCGGGCCATCCATCTTTGCTGGCCCCAGTCACTACACATAAAAACACTGCTTAATCATTTGGGTGCCACAATTAAAACAAATGATTCTAACCTTACCTCCGCTCTTGTTCTCATTCGAGTCTGCTCCACACCATTATATCTAATCATCAAAGGGTATTATACACTTGAACTGCTCTCTAAAACAGGCACTTTTATAGTCCAAAAGCGAGACAGTATCACTTTTACAGTATGGACATTTTGCAGTTTTTAATATTAAGACCAAATTATCAAAACATCATAGAAAAAAGTTTATGCTTGAGAGAATTATTTTAAATCATATTTTTTCACTGCCATAATAGGAGTTATGCTTTTGAGAAATCATTTCATGAGAAAATGAAAAATACATACAGATTGTGGCACAAAGGTTAAAGCTGTAATGAACTTTATACTTGCAGTTTTACATATTATTCAGTGTGTATTAATGGAAACTTTGCAATTTTAAAGAAACTGTATTTAGCCTCCGCTCTTACAGTTTTCAAAGGGTACTGCAATCACAACTGAACCTGTGTTGCCAGTGCTTTAACCTGCAAATAGAAGACACATACAAGTTTTCCTCTTGGGTGTATTATTTTGCATGTGGCAGCTGACCCTGACAGCAAATACTTTCAATACAGACTATAAGCAAACACATTTTAAACACATCAACCTACTTTATATCATATTTTAGCTGCAAAACGGTTCTCAAATTCTCCATTTAAATGAACAGGAAGTGCCACTACAACACAAGTGCGGTTTAGTATCATTTAGAGGCAAAAGTGGCTGTGAACAAGGCAGAACAAACTCAATATGGACAGTGTTTACTACAGCAAAATCTTACAGTATTCATCTACCACAAAGACGCAGTTGCACTTAGGGATGGGCATTCGATGAAATTTTCTTAATCGATCATCGGAAGAATTAACGATCGATTATCGATTAATCCTTAACGTTTTTATATTAAAATGATCATCATTATTATTACTATTTGCACTACTAATCCGCATAAATAAATTCTACTTTACGACATATAAACCATAACCACTCTAGAGCCACATCAGTCCGTTTGACATTATAATGTATTTAATTCAGTTTTGCGCAACTCTCACAGAAACGAAACTTAAAACTGCATCATTAATTTGCATAAACTAAGGGAAGATTAAAAAAAAAAACAGCTCTTGTGTCGCTGATGCGGTCAACTTCTGCTGGATTAAAAGACACGACTCAGTGGAATACAGGTTAGTGTGACCAGATTTGCATTTGTCAAACCCAGGACACCGTACGGGGGGAGGGAGGTGGGGACTCGTCATTAACATTGTGCGACTCTCACCTGACAAAACTTTTTCCCACTGGACACTGAAACATATGTGCTGCTTTATACACTGTGCACATGGACTCACACTTGTCCCGAACACAACAGAAAGTGTGGAATTTCTTGTACAAATCATCGTTAAATCCACATTTGTGCTTCGGTACGTTGCAGACTGACCCACTGTTTGTGTCTCGCTCCTTCTGAGTGCAGAGACACATGTACAGACCCTGTTTGGTCACACTACACACAGCAACCTACATTCAGTTTGTCGATTAAAATGAACGTAATCGATGAAATTCTTAATGATTAATTATTGATTAATTGACTAATCATGCCCATCCCTAGAAGACACATACAAGTTTTCCTCTTGGGTGTATTATTTTGCATGCGGCAGCTGATCCTGACAGCAAATACTTTCAATACGGACTACAAGTAAACAAATTTTAAACACATCAACCTACTTTATATCATATTTTAGCTGCAAAACGGTTCTCAAATTCTCCATTTAAATGAACAGGAAGTGCCACTACAACACAAGTGCGGTTTAGTATCATTTAGAGGCAAAAGTGGCTGTGAACAAGGCAGAACAAACTCAATATGGACAGCGTTTACTACAGCAAAATCTTACAGTATTCATCTACCACAAAGATGCAGTTGCACTTAGGTTAGTACTTAAATGGTCTTCTGTTTCCATCACAGGCAAGTGGCATATTTAGCTCCTAGCCTAATTCAGACAGAAAGGGGTGTTTTTGCTTAATTTTGAGACTGTATGCCAAAGCAAATTGGATTAAGGCTCGATGAATGGAATCCACTACTGTAGATAATTTACTTATTTTGTTGGCAAGTGCCGCTGTGTTAGCCGCCGTGTCCGCAGCAGGAGCTCCACATTAAACCGGAGAAGAAGATGTAGGAGGTGATGACATACAAACAAGTGTCAGACTGTGGTTCTGAACTCACCCACCAAGTCTTTCTGAGGAGAGTTAGTGGGCCAGGCACTGCAGAGGCTCTGTAGATTTGTGCTTTTAATAGACCTACTATGGCGTTTCATGGCCCCTCTAGATTTCAGTTAGAAGTAAGTAAGTGCGCCCTCACCGGAGCCTTATTACTACAACAGACAATGGCCTGAGGGGCTGCAGTCGCCACATGCATTCTCATGATTCATCTGCTGGAAGGTGGGACAAAACAAAATATAATGTTTAAAGGTGCACTGTAAGTTTTCTGCTGGAGGGTCTGCCACCTTCTTGTCCCCATGGAGATGTTTTTGTGTTGTAGAATGTTCCATAGTTTGTCATTACACTTATCTGTCTTGCGTGTATTCAGTTACTGGTGTTTTTATTGCTCACATGTACCTTGAAAAAAAAAAAAGATCTGTCAGCAGGGTCACCTCTCCACTGATCTGACCTAGGGCAGGGCGATATGGAGCAAAAAATATATCTTGATATATTTTGCTATATCTCAATATACGATATAGACAGTGTTGGGAAGGTGATTTTTAAAATGTATTCCCCTACAGATTACAGATTACATACACCAAAATGTAGTTTGTAATGGAATCCATTAAGTTACTTAAAGTGAGAAACGTAATCTGAATACTTTGGATTACTTGATTTGCTGTAGAGAAGCAAAGACCAGAATATCGTAACATAAGATGTTTTATCTGCTAAAAGACAATAAAAAGCCCAGACTTTACTGAACCAAATTAAAAATATTATTGATAGAAGAGGAGGAGACACGTCCACACGGCATGATTTAGTCCTGTTAAATCCTGTTAGATCCTGGTTTAGTCCTGGTTTAGACCTGGTTTAGACCTGGCTTAGTTCTAGTTTAGACTTGGTTTTAGTCTTGGTTTAGTCCTGGTATAGTCCTGGTTTAGACCTGGTTTAGACCTGGCTTAGTTCTAGTTTAGACTTGGTTTTAGTCTTGTTTTAGTCCTGTTTTAGTCCTGTTTTAGTCCTGGTTTAGTCCTGGTTTAGTCCTGGTTTAGATCTGGTTTTATACCTGTTTTAGACATGTTTTAGACCTGATTAAGATCTAGTTCAGACCTGGTTTAGTTTCCGGCAATGAGTGGAATTACAAAAAAAAAAAAAAAAAGGGATATACTGTAGCTCAAAATGTGAACAGGAAAATACCACCGTGTAATCCACTTATTTCAACAAAGTAACTGTAATCCAATTACCACTCACTGAAACAGTAACTGTAACTGAATACAGTTACTCATAATTTGTACTCTGATTACGTAACTCCAGTACATGTTTTCTTTCTTATTCTGTAAAGCACTTTGAATTACTTTGTGTACGAATTGTGCTATACAAATAAACTTGCCTT